AATGGCAGGGTGAGCCAGGGGTCATGCCCGGGGCATGGACCTGTCTCCCCCTTGGCACCACGCCCACGCAACCCCTCGTGACCGTAGGATGCAAGCAAGCGCCGCGATTGCCCTTGATCCCTGACCACCGATCACCGAGCTCCATGGCCGAGCTCGGCTATAAAGGCCACGGTCCTCAGAGCCCTAGCGCTCGTCCCGTTGCCCGCCGCCACCTCGGTGGCCATCCACTACGCACCCAAACCTAGAGAGAAGAGGGAGAAGAGGAAGAAGGGGGGGAAGAACGTCGAAGCCACCGTAGGGGAGGAGATCACCGGAGCCGGGAGCGACGCCGTCGGCTACATCACCGATGCGGGTCGGCACGGCACTGCACGGCTTCCGGAGCTACACGGCCTCGAATTGACACTGCACCGCCATCCTATCTCCCACAACACCTACGGTGAGCCTTGCAATCCCTCTCTACCATCGAACCTCACCGTCGGCCATGGCGCTCCACACCTGGAAGCGCGTAGGCCAGTGCCTTGCCTCAGCCACTTGGAACACATGCACCCACGCGCACACCAAGATCGCCGTGACACCCCACCTGAGCCCATAGCGCCCCAACGTGCGCATCGCCGTCGACGCTGCCGCCATGGCGCACCAGACCACCGTCGAGCACCAGACCACCGTGCTGAGCACCAGACCACCGGTCCAAGCACGTGACCACCGGTCCGAGCACCAGACCACCGTGCCGAGCACCAGACCACCGGTTCGAGCACCCGACCACCGGTCAGAGCACCAACCACCGTGGCCAGTACTACTAGGAGCGCCTGGCGCCTCCTTGACTCGCCCATCCCATTCGCTGAAGCCGCGGGTAACTCACACGCACGCCGTGACCACCCTGCTGGAGTCCCGTGGTTCACCCGCGTGCCTCGCCATCGTCTTCACCGTCGCCGTGGCCGCTGGGATGTCCCCACCGGCCATAGGAGAACCGAGCCTCGCCTTGAGTCTGGATGACCTCGCCGTGTTCCAACGAATCCGTAGAAGCGTGCACGCCCCACCGAGACGTTTTACCATGACCGTAGACACCTCACCGGTACTGCCGTCGAGCTTGAAAGGGCGCCGCCGTGGCCAAAGCCACCGGAGGCCATAGAGGACCCCTCAACCTGCCTAACATGCCCGTTGGGGCGTTGTGTCGCCCACGCGCACCACAGAACCGGCCTATGCCGCAGCCCCGGCGCCATTCCCGCACGCCGGTGGAGCTCGAGCCGCCGCTCGCCGTGGCCAGCACCTTGGGGAAGCTCTGGCCGCCACTTTGACCCCACTGACACAGTCACCGTGGCCTAGGGAAGCTTTTCCCCTCCCCAATCGGACACCAGCGCCACCACGGGGGCTCACCGTGAGCTCGCCACCGGCAGGAGCACCGCCGCGGTAAGAAACAGGGGAAACACCTCCCCTCGCCGGCCACATGCCCATGCACCCGGTGCACGAGGACCATAGAGAGAGAGGAGAGGGATGGACTTGGTCCACCATGGACCCTGCCTTAGGTCCATGGACCGTGAACTTGCGTCCACCGTGGACCACGCCTGTGGACAACAGCCCAGTAAGAGCCCACGACCACGACGTGGCAGAGCCACAGCACGCCACGTGTCCGGGTCGGCCCGGCCCAGACCGGCCCAACCCGAGCCCACCAGAGCCCAGTTCGGACCCAGCCCGTGTTGATCGTTGACTGGTCAATGTTGACCGTTGACCTGGCCCCACATGTCAGCGACACAGTGTTGCTGGACCCACACGTCGGACGATGACGTCATGCTGGCGTCGTGAAGACGTCACGCGGGACCCACACGTCAGTGACCCTGAACGTTGACCGACGTTGACTTGACCGGACCCACCTGTAAGTGACCCAAATAGCCTTTGGCCCCGCCTGTCGGTGAGCATGACGTTGATGACGTCATGATGACATCAGCAAGCCACATGGACCAACCACAGCGTGACACGTGTCAGCCCAGGATTAATTCAGCCTTTTTCATTTTCAGAAATGGAATTAATCTTCGGAAATTCATAACTAATTCATACGACCTCGGAAAAATATGAAACCAGAACCAAAATTCATCTAAAATCGAGCTCTACGCAATGGATCCATGTTTGAGTGCATTTGGCTCTTTTGAATTTTCATTGCTTCTTTATGCTATTCTATAGACGTCGCTAACGCGACTATAATGCGGTCGTTTGCAGACTCGGAGGAAAACCGGACGGACGAGGATCGTGAGTACCGTGAGGAGTACGGAGACGACTACACTGAAGGTGCCATATCCCACCCAATCTCGTAGCACCTATTACGCATGGCTAAAGTAGAAATGCTAGTGCTTACTTTATTGTTATATCACACTATGGTAGGACTTGCATGGTAGTATGCTTTCTTGATGGCCTTTACCTTGACGCAACCTTACCCCTGTTTACCCTACTGTTAGGCTAGTCACACGCTTGCTATTATATTTCATTGCTTATTACTTCTACTATGCTTACACTACATTGATGCGTGGTGGAAACTGGTGATTGGGGAGAGTGCTGCGTGTGTGACTTAGGTGCGTGGAGGCTGAGGGTTGTGTCGACCAAGTTGGAGTATACGACGAGCCTAGGGCAAGTCTTGCCGTGGGGTGCTACCTGGGCACCCCTGGAATGGATACCTATGGTGGGTAAATGGTATATGAGGTGGCCTTGGGTGTGATCTTATGATGGGAGGAGCCCAGGGTGGAGGTGCTGTGGTGGCACGGTAAATGGAAACCCTGATGAAGACATTCTGGCTTGGTCATCCCTAAGGACTTACTAGTACTCAGATTCACCGGGAAGCCTTACGTACCACTCGCCCTATATGGTGCGGGACGGCCGGACTACTTGGTAAGATATTGCCACTACTGCTAGGTTGTTAGCGGACAGTGTAAAGAGGTACGGGGTGCGGAGGATTTTCCCCACACCCTTCCGAGACTTCATGAAGACCTTGTGGACCCGGCTCATGACTCACAGTTTCAGCCACCCCAGACCGGACTTGGGGTGTACCAGGGCTGAATGGTAGAGTGGCATTATCCTAGGCTAGCAAGCAGCCGGAATCAGCCCAGTTGACGACGGTCAGCGAGGAAGGCAGATCTTGTGGTTATGTAAAACCTCTGCAGAGTGTATGGTTGATCGATCGATACATATGCTGACTTGTCGGCTATGGACCTTTCCTGGGTTTCGCTTAAACTAGATAGTGAGATGAGTCTTTCTATTCTCCGCCGGGAGTGAGTGTTCGGACGTAGCCAGGGGCTACGAGCCTTGAGACAGTGCCGAGAGGGAGTTGGCCTGTCGACTGAGTGATGGTATGGCTGTGGTATGGTGATGGTATGGATATGGTGGTATATCGATCCCAGGATCGAAACCTGGCTCTGGAATGGGAATGGGGTGGAATGCGTGAGAATGGTGTTAAAATTTGACCACTATTATTATGAACTTGATATGCTAATTCATAGGAAACCCCAGCTTTATAGGTTCCCTTTTGATTATATCCAACTTACATCCAATTTTTACAAAGCAATGCTCATAAGGTTAGGAGTGGCCAGTACAAATCGTACTGATAAATTTTGATACACAGGTTCTGCTGAGGAGTATAGCTCCGAGGAGTTTGACGGTTGAGGGGTTCGTTCCTACGCTCGAGTTTGGCGATCTTATCTTGAAGCTGTTCTGAATGAATGCTACTTTTGATTCCGTCAATGCGGCGATGTAATAAATTATGTAATTCCGCACTATTTGTAGTCTGATGTTATCATTATATGGATGTAATATTCAACTGGAATTTGGGTAATATAATCTAGAACGATCTTATTACAGTTTGACTCTGTGGATTTCTTTTCGTGGAAATCGGGGTTGTTTCTGTCAGCAACAGCCGCTTCCCCGCTGCCTGCCTGCGTGCTTGCTCTCTAGTCGTCTCCCCTCTCGTAACACGAAAACGACGAGGGAAGCTTCCTTAGCGACTAATCCAGCGCCAAATCCTCCGTTAAATTAAGTTTGATACTAATCTCATTCTCATGCTCGCCGACTCCGTCCATTATTCCCTCCCCTCTCGTCGTCGTTGGCTCTAGTCGTCACTCCTGGCTGTTAGCTTAGCCACATGGCCCGCGCCTGCGCCACCGTCGTCCTAGCCCTCGCGGTCTGCTGCCTCCTCGTGGCCACCGCGCCGGCGCGCCGCCCCGTGGACCTTCCGGCATCACGGGCGGTCGATGCCGTCGTCCTCGTCGACCGCGAGGCGGCTGCCGAGCCCCTGCCCAGGCCGGTGGGGGCTGCCGCGCTTGCTGTGCCCGAGGAGGAGGGCGACGCCGCCCGCGTGGAGGCGACCAGTGCTGGCGCGTCAGCGTTAGAGGTGCGGCCCAGCTCCGAGGAGACGACGACCGCGGAGGAGGAGGGGTGGGGCTGGCCGGCCGTGTCGGGGAAGTCGGAGGACGACGAGAGGCGGCCGTACGATTCCGATTCCGACTCTGACTGCGACTCGGACTCCGACGACGAGGACGAAGGAGGCATCTTCCGGTGGCTCTGGAGGCTGGCGGATCACCTCTTCTGAACTCCGAATTATGATCGATCCTCACCTGCCGCCGGTAGACATATTCTGATGCTTCGATCCTTGTCTGGCGCAGATCATATATATGTAGCAGCAACACCTCTTTGTACAAAATTATATTGATGAAATAAATGATACACCTGTGTTGTTGTATGAACGGATCAAACATTCAAACTGCTGTAGAACCTGGTAGTAACTGTCAGCGGCCGTAGAACGTTACACACCATCCTTCCAAGAAGCAGAGCACGCCTGAAATATCTAATGACAAGCATGCTCGACAATGCAAAAGTGTGTTAAATCAAGTTGATAATAGGTTCTGCCTCTCATCCTATCCTACAGCTTTATAAAAAGTCAGAGATATTACAAAGACAACATTTGATTTCAAAGAAAACGCATCTGACAACATTTGAGACTGCAGAAACCTGGCCAAGCAGTTCTACTTCTTCTTCTCCTCCTCTTCCTCCTTCTCCTCCTCTTCCTCCTCCTCGATTGCATACTCGTCGTCGTCCGAGTCGTCGTCGTCCCAGCGGTCATCATCGGAGTCAATTTCGATATCATAGTCATCCTTCGTATGAGCCTGGCTGAAACCGCTCAGCTCGTTCCTCCCGTCATCCTCGTTGATGAACTCCAGTCCGTATACCGCGTCTCTGTGCTTCACGACCAGCCAGTGAAGCAGCCTGTCCTCCTTGTCCAGATAGTGGAGTTCTTGCGGGAACGAAGGTGGAACCATCATGGTCATTTGCATAAGCTGGCCCTGTAAATGGAATGGGGAAGCAATCTTTAAGACAACTACACATGAGCAGGTTCTCAAGCTATACACAAGAGCAGGTCAAAAAGAGAATTATGTGGAGATATATCACTTCTCGTCGTCCAGGCAATAGGTTCAAACAAACCTTGGCAATGGGTCAAGCTTCACAGCTAGCAGACAACTGAAAACATACATTGTGCCCCTATCAGCTGCTTTAGCCATTCTACTTCATCCGCTCTGCTGCTCAGCAGATCCTTAGAAGAGAAATTGATAAATCACGCCATGCAGGTAAAGCCACAGCAAGGGTCTAAAGTTGACCTTATAGCAGCTAAATCATTTTTTGGATAGTAAATCATCTCATCACAAAGTATTTTCATTAATTATGATGAAGTATAAGCACTAATAAATTCTATTTACATGTCAACTCTGCTTAATTTAGCACCGATGATTCTTAGAAACATTTTGGTTACCTATTTGTTTTTTGTTTTTTGTTTTTTTGTTTTTTTTTTTATGCTCCTAGGCAACCCAGTTACAAATTGAGCATCCTTTGCCGAGTCCGAAAACACTCAGGCCTTACATTCTCTAAAGTTATAGCAGCGTAATTTTCCTTTCTAATCTGAACTAGCTAACCAATTCCAGCCACACTATCATATATATTGTGTTTAATAAGAATGGCTCAATCGTGGCAGTTAAGGTGACCAAGAGGACAACCGAGGATTGCATTATACAAATCTGACAGGGACCAAGAACAAAATCAGAATACTGACACCCAAGACCCAACAATGGCTTCTTATACTGAAACTCATCACAGTTGCATACAAGCTACAAGCTTGAGTTACAGCCACCACATCTGGTGTCTAGAGCTCGATGGAGCACAGCACTTTTTTTTGTCTAATTTTCGCAAGACACTGTAAGGTAATCTCAACTACTGATCTCACAATAAATGCCTAAACTCCATGTTTCAAAACATGAAACTCTATGGCCTGTTTGCATGGCAGTGTAGAAAAGCTGCCTGCACCAGGCATCGCTCCTGCCTGGCACGCGTTCCTAGGCCAGGGCTGCATCCAAACACACCATAAAAGCGCTATGGCACTGTTTGTATTAGCTTGCAGACTGTGGACCGCAGCTTGCAGGTTGCAAGCTGAAACAAACAGGTTCCAGATTGTAACAATCCGCGTGCTGTTACAATCAAACAATGTGCTCCCCTAGTATGCGGATTGTAAAAATCTGCAAGCTGCAATACACAATCCGCAAGCTAAAACAAGCAGGGTTGTCAAAACTAAAATAATAGTGCTTATTACAAACAGTCAGCTGATCTTGGAATGTTGAAAGGAACCTACATACAGTATATTCTATAACCGATAAACAAAATCCCGTCACAAATTGTGGAGCAGTACTTAAAACTTCACGACAATGTTGATCTGAGTTAGAAAAATGTTGTAGCAAAGCAATAGTCACTATAAAAATCTCATAGCACAAAGTGTAAAAGGATACCACAACTGAAAGAGAAGAGTGTAAAGAAAATTACCCGGCAGGACACTAGTTAAAGGTCTGTTTGATGAATTACAGCTAGTTACTAGTTGGGCAACAAATTAGCTCAAATTAGCTGAGATTGACTAGCTAGTTGGCTAACAACTAGTCGACGACTTGGCTAGCCCACCTATTAGCCCTTTTGTTTGGATGGGCTAGAGCTAATTCTGGCTAATTTTTAGCTACCTAGCAATTAGCTCTTGTATCAAATAGGCCCTAAATGTGACTGACTGGTATGCAGAATGCTGTTAAAAAAACTTTGTCGGAATTACTCTGCAGGACACTAGTTAAATGTGACTAGTATGCAGAATGATGGTGGACAATCAGCCCGCCATCGCTATCGTCCTCACAAAGAATCCGGTTTCCCACGACCGGAGCAAGCACATCGATGTCAAGTTCCACTTCCTCAGGGACTGTCGGGTTCATAAACCCGGGGTCCCTCGCGGAACGGCTTCCGAACAAAGGCTCGGTCCAGCAGGCAACGTTGCAAACAACGCACAACTCATGTGCCGGCCCAAGTACCTAAACAACAGGCCAGAAGGGCGATCCAATCACCGACCGGAAGGCCTGGCCGAGGAGGAACGACGCCCGTTTACCGACTCCGGCCCACCTCTCCGACTAGCGCTCGCTTCGGTCTCCAGCCTGCCTCCGGACGGCCTCTCCGACCGGAAGGCCTGGCCAAAGCACTACTTCCAACTCTGACCCCACGTCTCCGACCGGGGATGCGCCAAGCCCTGCTCACTACTCTTCTCCGACTGGCGCGGTCAGAGCCGACTGGGACTAACCGACCGGGGTTGCCACTCGGTAAGGATCAGGAAACAGACGGAGAAAGTAAGGCATGGCGCACAAGTCAAACCGCAATACCGGGGTCCGTACCCTGTACACCTGCGGAAACAGTACTCTACGACCTCCCTGGCACGTCAGAACCCAAGCAGTGTTGTAGGCGCCGACATTTCCCCCTACAGTATTGTGGGCGCCATTAACTCCCATACGGTAAGGCTCCCCCCACGTGCCTCTGGGCATCGACAGTGTTATGGGTGCCGGCATTCACCGTACCAGGCGAACATGGTAAAACCCCTTTCATGCCTCCAGGTATCAAAAGTGTGGCGGGCGCCTACGTCTGCCATACCCGAAGAGGACAATACAACCTCCCACGTGCATCTGACATCCAACAGTGTTGTGGTCGCCTACCATCATCCTGTACCCGCCGGCGTGGGAAACAAGGCTTAGAAGCATGCGTACTCTCTCTCTCTCTGACTTGTAAGGCCATCCCCTTCATCTATAAAAGGCGATGCGCTCTCTCCCAACATTCAGGTCAATTAAGCTTCGTCGGATTCATCAGATCGATCAAGTTCATTAGTTCACAACCCCAGAACCACCAGGTTCGAACCTCAAGCACACGCTTGAACACTTAGCTCATAGCGGGGCTCCCGTCGCTCTCGGCCCTTCCGACCAGAGTCCAACCGGACCTCTTGTACCCCCCCCCCCATCTTTCTCCTTCTCGTTTGTAACCCCACTGCAAACTTTGAGCACCTGGGCTCAGGAATAAAGTCACCGACCGACACAAATTGGACATAGGGCACGTTGCCTGAACCAGTATAAACACTGTGTCATTGAGTACTAGGCCACCTCCGATCACAATGTACGGCAAAACTACAAATATTTACCTGTTGGTCACTTTCTGCACCAACAGTTGGCGCCGTCCGTGGGGAAGACGTTGTACGTTCAACACTTTTTGGTCATCAGATGGCCCACTTTTCCGCCACCTTCGCCGTGGTGGGCTCAAGCGATACGACTCGCTTTGGCTCACTAGAGTTTCCCGCACTCCCACTGGTTGGGATGTGGGTTCCACCCATCTTCGAGCCGTCCCAGGCCTTCCTCTTTGGAAGCTTGGACTTCGTCGCTGATCGGCTCGGCGTACTACACCTCTATCGACACAGAATTTTCATCCCATGCCGAGGACACAAGCAGCAAGCTGGAAGGATCTGCTCGATGGAGCTGTAGATCCGCCTAGCTTTAGAGCAGGGATGGTCGATCCTACGCGCTCCTCCCGAGACGTGCCAGTCAATTTGACCCTATAATTGACAAGGAGAGAAAGTTCATCAGTAATTAAGGGCGGAACTTGTCGGGGTTGCCAGACAGTCCCGAATGTGCGGCTCTAAGAGCCGATATGAGAGGAGATCGACTAAACAGCCGATTCCAGCATATTCATGAGAATAAATCGATTAAATCTCATTGGGTTGTATAAGAAGAATCGGTTATCATTTAAGATAAATGTCGTTATTTGAGCAGATATTAATCAATGGTAATAAGATATCAACAATGATTGGTTTATGCTGAGCCAATGATTACGAGCAACCGAACTCCTTTTATATAAAGAAACAATTCAACATCACTTAACTGTTTAATAAAGATAAATCTAATGAACATGTTAAATCTCATCTATCGCTATGACCAGTGGGGCATGAGGCAGAATCATGCAGGCCGTTGAAATAACAATAGACTCGATGACCCTAACTCATTACTAATATCAATGGGGTATGAGGCAGAATTATGTATGCCGTAATACAATAATAAGACCATGGGGCTAACATACCTTTCAATCTATCTTTACTTCAACAGTCTCGTAATGCGAACTATTCGCGAAAGCACTCGGCATCGGCTAAAACAGCCGATTCAGGCATAGCGCACAGTTAAAGTCATGCCCTATCAGGAATAGATCTATCAAATAACGATCCCCACTCTACGGTGCTAACAGTGGGGTGTGAGGCAGAATCACATAGGCCGTGATAATGGGCCATGGAACGGTTCTCGCTAGCCAATAAATCTACTCAAGACGCAACATGCTTTAACCGCACGCTATGCACGATCAAGATTGACGTAAAACAGCCGATAAAACGTAACTCATCATTTAAGGTATAGATTAGATCAGTTTTAGATTAACAAACGATGGGCTAAACAAGATATAAGGCTGATCTAGATCAATCCCAATCAGGCAGAGTGATATTGCTGTAATTAGATAAATAATGAAAGCAATAAGCAATATCGGTAACTTAATGAATCTTCCAAAGACTGCCATTCTAAGGTAGAGCCGATAACTTGACCTTGATCTAGTTCATGCAGTGGGGGTCGACCGGATTGATGCAGCCATACTTGAACTAGGCAAGAATCGATAACTAACTTATGCTAGAGTCGCAATGGAGGTCGACCGGATCGATGCAGTCGTACGAACAGAGGTATAAGCCATGACGGTACTTACAACAAGCAGTGGAGGTCGACCGGATCGATGCAGCCGTACTTGCTGAAGAACTCACCGAGATCTACTCTACTCCTACTCCTAAGGGGAGGCCGGAGCCAAAAAAGTAAATAACTTGTGTATTAGATTGATTGTTGTTTTTTACAATAGCCGAGGTTCGGTATTTATACCCGGAGTCTAAACCTGAATCCTACTTGATCACGATTCATTA